CTGCGGGTCCTATGGCCCAGCCGTCCCCCGCCTCCCGCCTCCCGCCTCCCGCCTCCCGCCTCCCGCCTCCCGCCTCCCGCCTCCCGCCTCCCGCCTCCCGCCTCCCGCCTCCCGCCTCCCCGCGTCGACAGGCCGCGGGGGAGCCTTCGCGTGGCTCCATCTCTTCGCTGAACGCGGCTCCGCGCGGCCGGAGGGAGGGCGCAGCGGCGCTGGTGGGAACGTCCCCGCACTCCCTGCAGCTGGGGCCGCGCCCGGAGGCCCGCACTCACGGAGCCGCGTCCTGAGCCACGTCTGTGCTTTGGTTCCCCCACCTGGCACCCGGGTTTTCACCGTCCGCGGGAACGGAGTCCCCTGGCAGGAGGGCGCGTCTCCCAGAAGCCCTGGTTCCCGACGAGAGTGGATGAGGGTGGATGAGGGTGGGCCGCCACCTGCCGCCGCCGTCCGCTCCGGGCTGGGCGCGTCCTCCCGGGCCTCGGGCTGTGCGGCGCCGCCGGGGAGCCTGCGGGGTGTCAGAGGCGGAGGCCGGCCTCAGGGCGCACCCTTCACCGCGTGACCACATCCAGCAGCTGCAAAGCGCGACCAGGGACGGCCCGACGCTGGCCATGCGCAGCGGCTGATGCCTGCAAGCACGGCACACCCGGCCGCCGGGCTTCCCGGGACCAGGAGGGTAAACGCCTTGGATCTTGAATAACCCTCGCGAGGCTCTGTTCGTCTTAGAAATTCCCAACTCGAGACACCTAGCATGGCAGAAGCCCCCTTATTCCATAAAGGGCTGGTGGGCTCAAAGCTGGCGGCTCCATTCTGCAGCCTCAGCGTGTATTCGTTTCGCCTCCTCCTCTCTCTACCCGTTAGCCCTGTCCTGCCCCAACCCGACCCGACCCCGACCCCTCCCTAGTGCCTGGAGTGCCACCCTCTGGCTCGCGGAGCGAGTGAACTGGCGGAAGGTGGGGGCAGGTGAACTGCGGAGACCCGCCTGGTTCTCCCCAGCAGCGCCTTCCCCCTCTGATCCCCCCAAACTGGCAGCAGAGGGGCGGCTGCTGGGGTGAGGTGGGGTGGGGTGGGGAAGGCATTGGCACCTTTGTGCACCTTCCACCTGAAGGTGGAACCTTTCTTCAGTTAACAGCAAAGGGCCCCAGTGCCCCCTCTGCAGGTGTGCTCTGACAAACATGGGAAGGCAGCACAGCAGAAGGAAGATGCAGCCAGTGATTTTGGGGGCGCTGCATTGGGTGTGTCTTATTTCATTTCCCACGTTTAGATGTCAGTGACATTTTTATTGCCAGAAAAAAACAACCAATTGCCAAAAATAATAGGTTGTTCTAAAATCAACGAAAATCAACAGAGGGACTGGTCTCCCATAACCAGCTAAACACTACGCTCCTCCATTAAAAAAAAAAAAAAAGTATTTTTATTGATTTCAGAGAGGAAAGGAGGGAGAGAGAGAGAAATCAATAATGAGAGAGAATCATTGATTGGCTGCTTCCTGCATGCCCCTCCCCCTTCCACCCTGGGGATTGAGCCCACTACCTGGGAATTGAATCATGACCTCCTGGTTCATAGGTCAATGCTCAACCACTGAGCCACACTGGCCGAGCATCTCCCATTTTTAATGTCTTCGGTCAGCCATACATTTCTTTCACTCACCCCATTACAGTTCACCCAGGTTTCCATGTCTTATGTCCATGGCTTTAAACACATCACTCACTTAACCAGCCTCACCTTTGCCTCATGGGTGTGTCATCCCTGGGCGACACGAATGCGTGAAGAGCAGTTCCTTTTCAGCGGCCCAAATTCCACTTCAGGTGTTCAGTGGGGAGATGTGGGAGAAGATTGTAAATTTTAACAATAGTCCAACGATACCTCTTCCTTTCGGATGCGCTCTATTACACCAGGAATTTCTAATGAAAACCCCCATCCTTTAGGCATTGTGGTTAAGCACCATCACAGCAGTACTGAAAAGACTGGTCATATTTGCAAGAGGCACTGTGATGAACTTTCACCGTACAAGATTTTAAAAGAAAAAATTTTCATTGATTTTTTTTTTTACAGAGAGGAAGGGAGAGGGATAGAGCATTAGAAACATCAATGAGAGAGAAACATGGATCAGCTGCCTCCTGCACACCCCCTGCTGGGGATGTGCCCGCAACCAAGGCACATGGCCTTGACCAGAATCAAACCTGAGACCCTTCAGTCTTTAGACTGACATTCTATCCACTGAGCTAAACCAGTTAGGGCACCGTCCAAGATTTCAAAGTCTGTAATTAATACTCTTGACCAATCCCTGGCTAATCTGTCACCTCTCAAAGTCTTTAACCACAAAGTTCAAGATCATCAGGTAGGTAGTCCCTACATTTCCCACCCACTGTGATGTCATTATTGAAGAAAAATTTTCCTTTGACTTTGCATCAGGGAACAACCAATTTTTGTTATATATTCAACAACGAGGGAGGTGCAATGATTTGAGTGAATGTTGAGTGACAGAGTATGGGTTTGGCTGGTCTGGTGCCGAACACAG